AATAATTTTTATGTGCTGTTGCAGTATGAGTGTACATCAGATCCAGAAAAAGTGTCAAATGAAAATTATCTTTGATCTAAAGAAGCGTACCCTGTGAGCTCACGCTGCTGATGTATGTGTGTGTATACTCCCAGCTCCAGAAACTGCAGTTGGAGAAAGTGAATGGGGTAAGGCCAACACCCAGCTGTAGCGTGAGTATCAGGACACATGGTGGGGCCATCCCTCTTGGTGTCAAAGCTGTAGGAAGCAAATGGTAACCCTGAGCAAGTGGGTGGCAGAGCTGCTAGGAGCAGCTGGTGGCACGAGACTGGCCAGAGGACAAATGCGAGTTCTGAATCGGTTGTACCAAGGTGACCTTAGAAACTGGTGATCTGGACAAAAAGAAGAGAAACAAATTGGAAGATAATGGACTTCTTCAGGTATAGGAGCAGGATGCTGTTCAGGAAGAGCAGCAGGATGGGGAAACTGTCCCTGTGCAATTTGAAGAAGGGTGACCGACTGTCATCGCTGATCAAAGGAAAAAATGCATTAGCAGTAAACTGGATAAGTGATAGAATAAATGTAGGACTAACCTTGTTTGGAGGGGTGGTTGTGTTGGCTTATACTTAAAGATATTTGTGTATGAGCCTCTAAATAGTACAGTGATTTTGGGGAACAAGCCTTGAGTTGGAGGCTATGGAAACAGCAAGAATCCTTTGTAAACTTCACAAGGCTGACCATAGCAGCTTGATGCAAAAAGCAGCCGACCTTAAAAGTTGACTTAAAAATTAAACACAGATAAGGAAAAGACAAAGTCTCATTTTGGGTGGAAGGCAGGGACAGCTGATAATGTGCTAGGTAGTAGGTGAACTTTAAAAATACCACCTCTCATCTCTGATTTCACAAGATCATGAGTTTTGAGGGCTGATGAAATGCTGCATAGCTAATCTGGGCTGTTCAGTGTCCCCACTGGGTTTCACAAGCTTCTTCTGCATCTTGCGTTATTTCACAATAGTGTCTAAGAGGCAAGAAATAAGCATGTAGTTTCTTCTCTCCTTGACTGTTAAGTCTTAAACGTTAGAATGGTAGGCAGTCATAATTTTGCTCTGAGCTTTAATTTTCTGTGTTGTTCAGTAGTACATAAGGAATCTTTAACTGAGATAATAACTTTGTTTAAATGGCAATACCTGATTTGAATGTGCTTCACGTGGTCATTTGCCTTCACTGATTGGTATTTTGTAATGTACATTTCTTATTGATGATGATGGTTATAAGCATGCATATGTTATTAGCATCTATTTTAAAGAAAAAAAGCTGAGTAAATTCATAGAGCATCTTTAGTGAATGATGGCATACAACCCAGTAAGTTTTGGTTTACTGTTCTGAATGTGTATGTTCCTCTAGCAAAATCAGTGTTGATAGCACATACACAGCTTGGGGTGATAAGGAATTGGAGAGAAATATGCACTTCATTAGGACTCTGCCTCGGATCTGTAATTTGGACCTATATAACTACTTTTGTGCTTCAAATTGTTTTTCACATAAAGTAAACAGTGGTGAGGTGCTGTGAAGAGGGGAACTGAATGTTCTGTCATTGGGGAAATATTGAACTAGAAAGGCTTTATAATTCCAGGAGTCAGGTATGTATAACTTGTGGTTTGTTTGGGTTTTTTAATCAGTCGACTTCCTCATGTCAAAATTGCTTACATTTCTTCAAAAGCAGGTGTAAGTCTTGAGATGCCAACGTTTTAAATACCATAATTGGAACGAATGTCCCTCCCCACTTGTAGTGAGCATTGGCAACGTTTTGTTGAGAAAGCTGTGGCTTAGTCAGATGAGTGGAAGATTGAAATGAGTTTTAACTTTTGAGTGTTTGATACATCCTCAGAACTGTACATTTTGTTTCAGTCTTGACTTTTTACTGAGCTAATGAGCAAAATTAAGCCTTGTTAATCACAGAGGATCGTAAGGAAGGAAACTCAAACTTGTGCCTGCTGTGCTGAGTCTCGTGTGTTGTTGAGAATGCTATGCTGAGGTACAGAAGAAATAAAATAGTTGCTTTGTGCAGTTTTATTTTTTGTCCTGTCATTTAGCTGTTAACATCTGCTGTTCTGGGAAGCAAATGTGCCTTTGACTTCTACCTCCAAATGCACAGGTGTGCTTGTCACTACCTGCCACCTGTGTAAGTGGCATTAGACTGCAAATACTGTTGGCTTTGTGAGGCAGAACACCAAACATTTTTTAGTGCTCTGAATTTTAGGTTGCAAACTGGCATCTTCTTGTTGAAGGCAGGCGCTCATGGCTGTTATCGCACCACGTACTGTGTAGTGGTGTTTACAATGCTATGGCATTCTGTAAGAGCAGAGTATTTGAGACCATCAGAATTAGTGTTCTTCCTCCTTTTGGTGTGCAGAGCCTCTGTCTTACTGGTATCTGCCTTTAAGGAGGAAGAGTGTTCTTGGTCAGCCTGGCACCTCATCAGAACAGGGCTGCAGCTTGTTTGGTTTGGGTCAGCAGAGAATTCCCTTGGTTTCTGCTGTGTGGTTGCACACAAGATAGCAGCACGCAGAACAATCAAATAACAAATTAGTCATGTGTGTTAAACAGTACGCATAGGGGTCTGATAAAGGCAATTTTCTAGTTTATTGTACTTGCTGTGTAAAAATGCAAGTGATAGAGGACTTGCACGTTGACTGCTTGGCAGTGGGAGGAATTGTCCCTCTTGGGTGTTGCAGTTGTGCTGATCCGGTTTGCTGCTCAGTGAGAAGATCTATTACAAACTGACATGGGCTGTAGGACTTGATATAGAGAGCGGTTGTCGGTATAATCTGTGAAGCAACCATTTGAACGGATTGCAGGTTTCTTCACAGCAGCTTCCTAACCCTTAGTTTTGCAAAATGGAGTTTTGCTCTAGTGTGAGTTACATTATCAACAGTCAGATTTGCTATGAGAAGGCTAAATTTGTATTACTCGCCACAGGAGATGAAAAAAACCCAAACCCTAAAACTAACCAACCAACCAGAAGCCCAAAAAAGAGGTAATTTGGGTATAGTACTAGTTGGCAGATTCTGTCAGAATGGGTAGAAAAGCTTGTTTCAGATAGCACACTTCCTTGCAGAGCAGCTGGAGCTGAGGCTGTGCACAGAGCCTCTCTGTACAGATCCTGGTTTGTCTTTTACAACTCCTAATTCACTGCTTATACTGGAAAATACTTTGAAATTCAGGCTAGAATTTTCAGGTGAAGAACCTTTCAAACTAGCTTTGAAGAAAAATGTGTGCTCTTTTAAAATTTCTAGGGGCTCTGGGTTTTCTTTCATCTCAGTATTTTACTTATCTGTTCTTAAAACTAGAAGCAACGCTGTCAAGCTTAGTAAGCACTGTACTCTTTGCATTTCATAAACTGTTTCCTCAGATCCTTCCTTCCTCCCTCCTCTTGGAGAAGGGGTTCACATGCCTAAACTTATCACAAAGAGGAAGAGGGACAAGAAAAATCATCCTTGTTTATAGGCTTCTGCACAGAGGACCTTACTCTGAGGGATTTTATCAGTGTCCTTCCAGAGACATGGACATGTTTGGCTGGATCCATTTTGGTTTGCAGTCAGTTCCCTGTAACTGTCATTACAGGGAGGAGTAGATTGTTCCATGGGTTTGAGGTTACGTACAGTTTTGTCTCCTCTCCCTCTTGAAAAGCGGTGTGTTTTTAATGGGTTTAGGTTTTGGTGTTTTTTTTTTCCTTTTCACTGTGTTTCAAGAAGGTGCATCTGTCTTTGCTAATTTGGTCTTTTTTGATGGGTTTGCTGTGTGGAGTAGCTGTGACAGATTTGTGCAAGTGACTTTGTGGGATGGGACTGTGACTGTCCAAGGTTTGGAAATCTTGGGTAACCGCAGTGCTTTGAACAACAGTTCAGTAAGACGTAGCACTGAGATTTAGTCTTTTGGAGCAAATTGAGTCCTACTCTATGAGGACACTGAGGAAATTGTTGCACGTGTGGATTGTATAGAAGCTAATCCTTTGAAACGGGGTGGAGAGAGACGTAGTATCTTTGCACCACTTTAATATCTTCTTTCCTTTTAGGCAGTTCCTTGTAGCTGTGATAGATTCATGCAAGGTATCCATAGTTCCGTGCCATTAAAATGTTCAAAAACTTGTAATCTGAAAGGAAATGCCTCAAGGTTTTCAGTGTGTACATAGGAGTCCTTTAACTTCCTACAGTGGTATTTTTTAAATGAAACACTCTGCCTTTGAGACGATTTTTGTACATATATCTGTACATCGGATTATTATACTTGATTGTGTAGTAACCATCCAAAAACATGCAAAATGAGCTTGGTTTCAAGAGAAATTTTTGTGTTAATTATCTCTAAAGGAAAAATAATAAATAGCGAGTACTATGTCATACTATAATGTATTAAGTTGCATGCGTTCCTGCGTGACCTGCCCTAGACTAGATGGTCCTGCTCTGGCAGGGGGGTTGGACTCGATGATCTCTGGAGGTCCCTTCCAACCCCTAACATCCTGTGATTCTGTGAAGCTGCATCTGTCATGCCTGTTTTGCTCAAAACCAAGAAAAGGCTGAGCAGCGTTGAGGTCTTGTCTTAAAGATTTAAAAATCATATAAAAATTGTGTACACCTTGCTGTTTCCTTTCAATGCAAGCACTGAACTGAGGTACATGTGGGCATAAGATGTCAGTGTCTGTTTTTTTGGTACTTTTTTTTATGTTTTAAAATATGTATGCAAATGCATATTTTTTTGTCTTCTGCCTGTACACAACTCACTTGTCCTGTGTTGCACTACCATTGTTTTGCTCTTCCAAAATTCAGCACAGAGTAGGAAACTCTATTTAGTCCACCGTAGTCCTGAGGAAAGCCCCTGAAAGAGTGAGACGTGGTGCATGAGCTGCTTCAATGGTCACTTCCTTGGAGAACACATGGGTTGTAGTTTTCCACCACAATACAAGCCTTTGCTTTGTGGGAATGTTGATGGTAAATCCTCGTTTTCTGATTTTCTGTTTCAGTATGTATGACCAATTGCCCTACTCTGATTGTCATGGTGGGTCTCCCAGCAAGAGGAAAAACCTACATCTCGAAGAAGCTGACACGCTATCTAAATTGGATTGGAGTGCCTACAAAAGGTGATGGATTTACTTTTATTTACATCAGAAGGACAGGGCAGATGTTAGGTTTTATAAACCTAATTCCCAGTAATTTTCATCCCAAGTTTGATTACTTAAAATCCTTCTTCTTTGTTAACTTATTTTTAAGCAACAGCACACACAGACTCTCTGTTCTGTTTAGATGTCAATCAAATTCCAGTGACTGTTCATTTACCTCCTTGTTCTATCAGGTGCCTAAATAAACTTTTTTTTTTTCTTTTTTCCTTCTTCCCCTTTCCTTATGGGTAAAGGGCAATCTTGTTTACAAGTGGATGGGCAGTCAGCACTTCTGGGTTGAAGTTCTGACTTCTTTTCTCTGTGAACTTTGTGCAACGTATAATTCTCTGTGTAACTCTTTGTTTAACTGCATTTGTGGAATGAGTTACAGCTCTTTGTATGAATATTAAGTGCCCATGGAACTGAAGCAGCCTCTTGTTATCACTCTCTTTAGGACTTTGTGTGTGTTCTGAGTGGGAAACGACAGCTCAGACTGGCTGTGGCAAGGACCTGGCTGTCCTACCTCATCCCTGAGTTCCCATGGTATCTTGTGGACCCAGTATGTAGGGACCCAGTAAACAAGACCTAAGTCCATTTGAAGTTCTGAGCAGACATCTCTTCTGCTTTCTTCTCTATCTCTGTGAAAGAAAAAGATAGTTTTAATGTTCTGTGACCCTGTGTCTGGTGCAATAATGGTAGCTTTATAGTTATGACTAGTTAATCATTTCAATAAAATTAAACATATTACATCATACTAAAGTATAAACTTTTGGCTAGATTTTCAGAGATGTATTTCCTAATAGCTCTAAGAAGTCAAGATGAAGGCCTATATTTAAACTACCAACTGAATTCTAGAGTATAGCTTTTTGAGTTGGTGTTTTCTTAAGCTCTTAGATGCTTGTCTAATATGCTTTATTTCTATGAGACTTTATGGAGGATATGTTATATAGTTTGACTATGAGAGTTTACACGATTAAAATGATAAAATTATTATTTGAGGTTTTGACTGACTTCACAGAGCGTATAACCCTTCTGATGAGCCGTATCAGATATTTAGGGATTTCAGTTTGGTCCGTGAGGCTGAAACAAAATAACAACCTGAATAGGTTAGCATATATCCAAGCTGATAAAATTTCTGTGATGTAACTATGCTCGTATGTTAGGTACTCGTCTGATGCACATTTGTATGTAGGTGTGCTGTGTGTATCTATCATTGTGTTAAGCATTTTCCTGTGTGAGCTTTGAAAACAGAAACTAGTATTGGAAACAAACACGATACTGTCTGCATCTGGGTCATGCGTGGTTGACTATGTCCTAAATGCAGTAAAATAGGTGGGGGTTGTTTCTTCACTTACAGGGAAAGGTCTGTGGACTGCTGTGAGCAGTATATCAGAAAATGTATACATTTATGCTTAATAAAAAGTAGTTATAACATTCCTGCCTTACTTGACAAAGATATACAACGTAAAGTTGCCATATGGTCTTCCATTGTTGTTTGCTCGTTATGATTTGTCTTTCTTGGAAAGGGTGACTTGGGATTTTCTTGGAAACCCACAGAACCTTCCTCTTGTGTGTGTCCTCAGTGATGCAATTTTAGTGAAGCTGAAATCAATTTAAAATGCCTCACTGCCTGTGGGAACAGGCGACATGTTGCCTAATTCTTCCAGTTGATTTGGACTGAATTGATACATGATAAGTATTGAGTAACCCTAATGTCTGTTGTCCCTTGGCTCTTCATGTCTTAAAATTAGTGTGCACTTAATCTAGTAAGTGTTCTTGTTTTCTGAGACAGACAGTTAAAATTCTGAAGTTATGTAAACCAGAGAAAAGGTAAATGTCATCTTTTCATATCACATACATGAAGCATGCTGGAAAGTTCAAGAATGAGTGGAGGTAGCCCAGGGCTGATGTTAGCTGAATAATTTCAGCCATCAGTTCTGTGGATTCTTTTATTCCTTCCAAAATCCTCAGTTGTTTAGAATGTGAAATAATTAAAACTACAAAGGACTTTTGTCTGGGCTTGTTGAAGGAAATGAGGTCAAGTAGATGCCTGAATAGAATTGCATTGCAATGTGGGGTTTAGATACTAAACTTCGGGAAGTTTTTTTGAATAGTCCTGGCTGGGTGGTAGTTGTGATACCAGTTATCTTTGTGAAACTTTTCCACAGGGGTGGATGCTAATAATAAAGGCTAAAGATTGTCCCACTAGTTAACACCGTTTCCTTTGTTTGTGTGACCATCTTGCAGTAGCTATTCTTTCTTAGGAATTTAATTTTTTCTGATTTTTTAAGAGCTATTGCCTGACAACACTGGTCATTTGAACTTCTTGCAACTTTTCTTTTTCTTAGAAGGAACCACCTTTTCATGTAGCCAGTATGGCCAGTGCTCATTAAACCTGTCATAGAGTAACCTGGATTGTACTATAATCTGTGTCACAGTTGGCCAGAAAAAAAAAAACCTCTACATTGTTTAATTCAAACAAAACTTGACTTTGGGAAGGAATAAACAATATTTCTCTGTCCCCAGCCCCAAATACCAACAGCAATCTGATGCAGCAGCTGATGGTTGAGCTCTTCCATACTATGTCTTTTTTTTCTTAATAACTCAGGAATTGTGTTTATTGCTTCTTTTCCTCTTTCCAGAAATGAAGCCTGGTAACTTGGCAGCTTCTCTAACAGAACTCTTCAGTGTGACCTAATATTAAATAAGAATGCTTTGCAGTGCAACAGAGAAAACCTATAGGTCAGAAACAAGTTACACATCAATTGCACGTCAGAAACCTACTTTTAGAGCTGTTGACTGATGTTAGAGAGGGTACAGTGTCATTTTCTGCCGTGTGGCAAAACAGAACTGCCTTGCTCTAATCCCATATCCGACATTGTGCCAGGTGTATGACCAGAGGCCCTGGGGACATTTGTCCACATAAATAGTGAGAGTTCTTTGACAAGTGTTAAGGCATCACAGTAAGATTGTTTGGTACTTGTGCTGATTTATCTATTTATTTCACAACTGAAGTATGTTTCTAAATAAACAGAGAGGGGTTGTAAAGTAGTGTGCACTGATAAAATAGAAATATTTGAACAGAGTTCAGAAAGATTTTTCCATGACCTGAATTTTAAGTTTAGCTTATCAAAAGCAAGATTGGTTAGTTCTATTTAGAACTCTTCCTTGCTTAAATAAGAGTTGAAAGTTTTGGGAAGTGCTATCAGAATACTGTTTCACTGCACATATATGCAGAAGAAAAATATTAGTAGTAGTCTTTTGTAGGCTACTGCAGTAGATTCCCAGCCACTCCTTTGATGGAGAAAAGAGTTTCTTTTAGTTTTTCAGGTATAGTGTAAACAGAAGCACAGCGATATTGGCAGGTGACTCCACTGAAGCTACCTACAGCCTAAATGTTCTTTTGCCATTTCCATTATTTGTTGTTTTCTTAGTATTTAAAAAGAAACACCTGCTCCCCCAAGTAGGATAATATGTTGACTTTGTACATATTATGTTGCCAAATTATTTTATCTTTGCAGGTGGTTTGGTTTCAAAGCTATCATAACTATTGTATCTTTTACATGAGTATCATTAGTTCCCACTAATACTGGTTTCATCTTGGCAGAATTTAATGTTGGTCAATATCGTCGAGATCTGGTGAAAAAATATAAGTCTTTTGAATTCTTCTTACCTGACAATGAAGAAGGCTTGAAAATCAGGAAGTAAGTTTTGAATGTGTTTTGCCTACAAAATGCTAATTATATTAAAATGGTACCCTGTGTAATTTCTCTTAGAAACTGCTTTGTGTTGCATTTTTATATACTCTAGATGACCCTTAAGAGACTGCAGTATGAAATCAAAAGCAAAAGAAATTTTAGAGATAGTGGAAAAGTGATTTGTTTAGGCTGATTAAAAATTCAGATTTTTTTTTCTTAATTGCTTCATCTCAAGCATCAAAGATGTAGAGAAGGTAACTACTTGATTCCTTTTCACCTTTCAGTAGGCTGTGACTGCTGTTACTCCTGTGAGATATTCCAGGATGCTTTCATTCAAAATGAAGCAATTTTAACAAATAGTTATTCTTCTTACCTTTCTGTAAGGTGTCAGCCAATAGATGTGATTCTTTCTGCTGTCTAATTCATAAAACACTACTTTAAAACTTTGGGGTGGATCAAAGGAAAAAACCTAAAACCAAAACCAAACAAACACATAACTACCTTTCTTTTGGTTTGCATACTGGAATTTTTTTGCCTGGAATACTTTGAACATATTTGTCACTATCCATTCAGATGAGTGGGAATGAAACACTATTATTCTCTTCCTGAAGTTGTCTTTTTGGCCACCATACAGATGCTTCATGCAGTTGCTCAGTGCACTGCCTTGAAAATGGCCATGTTTTGCTAATGCTGTGCAAAGCAAGGTGAGCAGCAGTGTCAATATCTCTGCCCAGCTGAAGCACTTGAGACTCATCTCTTGCCTGGGAAGAGGCTGTGCTGTAGTATAGAGGAAAGACCTTGAGAAGAAAGGGTAGATGAAGAGGTCAGAACAGGAGGGAGTTGCCTCTTTCTTACGGAAGATCACATGGGAAGGTCTTTTGATTTTCTCCATCGTTCATTGTCATTTTTAGTATGTTCAGGAAAACATTTAAAAGTGTGCGTTATGAAATGAGAAGGAACAGAAATTATTGAGAAATGGAAATATGATTTGTTAAAATATGGAGTATTTTGTCTTGAGCTGTCCTTCAGCTCAAGAATGAAAAATGCCTGGACTCCCCTACTGTCTGGACTTCCTTTTGTGGCCATCCCTCTATTTGTCTTATTTCTCTTTCTTCCCTTTCCCCTTCAGTAGCAGTTGAGTATTGCTAATATCAGAGGAGAAAACTTGCATAAGAACCTCCTAATCCTGTAGCACAAAAGGATAGATAAGGAGGTGTGTTAGCCTTGCAAGCTTCTGCCTTTGGCTTAGATGTGGAGCCAAATCTTTTAACCTGCCTCTGTGTCAACTATTAGACACTAAGCGGTGAGAATTATAACATGCAATGGGCTGTGTGAGCTAATCTGCCTTGTTAGCAATGAGTAAAGAGGGTTTATATTTATTTAGTGAAGACTTGACTCATGAATCTCAGTTCCTGACATCTACTAACTGTGCTAATGTGGAAATACTGTCAAGATTGAAAAGCCTTCATTTTTCTTTTAAGATAAAGCTGTGCATGCAGAATATGGAAAACATAAGAGAAAAATTATGTGTTTCAGTCTGGAAGTCAAAACAGAGTAGTAATGCATAGAAAGGCTGTTGAACTGGACAGGTTTTTATGTTGGTACAGCAGAAAGACTGTAGATAATGGAAATAAGTGGGACTGTGTTCCACTAACGAGTAAATTGTGTACAGTGTTAATGTAGTCCTCCAGAAATACTTATATGTTAGAAATCATAATGGGCTTTGAAGGTAATGCTAGTGCCATGAGTTAGGAAAGTTGCAAATGAACTTATTCTTGTCCAGATTTAACAGAAGTGTAAAGTATATAGGGGTGGAGGCTTTTGGTGTTTGTGTCCTCAGCAGTGTCCAGTACTAATTACACTGGGTTGGTGACTATAATGGGATGTTATTTTCACCTCTGACTCTAATTTGGTGCTAACTTTGCTTTACTGTGTTTTAACAGTTCGGGTTTTTTTTTGATACAAGGAATTTTTACACAATAGTTTAAAAGAGAAGTAGTAGATTACTGAAAAAAAATCTGACTAAGCTGTAAGTTGTTTTATTTTTTTCTGTCTTGGAAAATCAAATTAAGAAGCAAATATCTATGAATAGGTGATTGGGTAAATAATAACAATTGCAGCAATGATTTAGGGATGTCACTTTACATCAGTGAAAGCATATCCTGGTCAGCATAGTTGATAGGTTGTCTGTGGTGGTGCATAGTTGTATCAGGTGTACAGAAGAACACCAGGCTGTTTTTTTTTTTTGGCAGATGGCCATGACCATGATTCATTAGTACAGCTTCGCTGATCTCTGTTGGTTTTTGCCATGCTCTGGGGTGTGTGGGGTGTATATGATTAAAAAATAAGTGTTTTGAGAGAGCTTATCTAGGATTTGCAGGGTGCTTTGATGACAACGCACGGGTGCATTTGTAATATGACTTTAACCAGCATTTGAGTTTTACCCTCTTTCATTTTTAAGACAGTGTGCCTTAGCAGCGCTGAATGACGTCCGACAGTACCTCAGTGAAGAAAATGGGCACGTGGCTGTAAGTTTCTTGTTGAGGACATGTTCTTGAAATGCTTCCCTGCAAAATATTGTGTATCTGATGGATGATATGCAGCCGGAGTAATTCCAATATCTCTTCAGTATATCAGATGTTTTTTTTTCTTTGGGAGTTTTATGCTATATCTGGCTTGCTGCTGTAGTGAAAAGAGCACCTAAGTTCAGGGCAATGATGCCATATTGAGCAATCACCTTTGTGATTTCAGGGGTTAACTAAAGAGAGGGTTAAACTAAGAAAAAATGTTCCCCTTCTTTCCACATATTATATAATGTATTGTTAAATATAGCTGTTGTTTTGGTTGCACTCGTATTTCTACTTGATAGTCTGGTGTCTCAAGTGAAAGCTGAAGCCTTACTGAGGAAAAAGCATCCTGGGTATTGCTTGGCAGTTGTGCTACTGACAGGAGAAATCTCTGAAGAGAGCAGGAAAAACTAAAAAGTAAATTGCTTTGTATATGAGTATTTAATAACGGGATGCAAAACATCAGCAGTTCAACTATTGATGTTGCATACTCACATCAGTTTGCTTAATGTTTTTCCTAACACAACTCTGAGGTGTTTTCATCAACTAATCAGGGAAAAGCATTAACCGTAATCATAAGTTCTGCTGGGTACATGAAGTAAACTTTATACTTGGGCAAACTTTGTACTTTGGTAAAACACTGGTGTGTTCAGAGCTAAACATAAATTCTTAGAAAAATGGCTGCATGTATCTTGTAATTCATGGACAGGATTTACAAGTCTTGCAGAACTTGTGCCCTTCAGAAGTTTCACACTTGAATTTTGAGTAGGATAGATTGCAGCATTTTTTTTTCTTTTTTTGTGTGTATGTGTGTAGCATAAGTTCACTGAAAAACTGCACATTAGTTTTTAACGCAGATATGGGCCAGGAGGAAGATTCTGTCCTGTCTGCTGAGTTAGGCTTAAATTCTGGTTGCTTCTTCCAGATACAGTGTCCTGCTAGTAGTGTTTTCAAAATATCACTCTTTTTATTAGTATTTAGAAAATAGTGCAGAAAGTAGGAATGTCTCTTGTTTTCCTGTTGAGCTTGTTGAGATAGTGGGTAGAGGGAACGGGAAGTGATTTAATTGTTTTCCTTCACATTGAGGGACTTTGACACCTTATTTTTGTTGTTCCTTACAGTGCCTTTCACAACTTTCAATACTTCTAAAATTCCTTTCTCTCCCCCCCGTAATTATTCCTAGGTCTTTGATGCTACAAACACAACTCGAGAACGCAGAGAAACTATTTACAAATTTGGTGAGGAAAATGGATATAAGGTGAGTCAAAAGTAATGGAGTTCTGAGCATACGCCTGGACAAGTAAGGCCATGATCATTTTTCCCTTATCTATACTCTGAGTTAAGACGTGCACAAGCATAAGCCACATCCTTCCTAGATGTTTAGTCAGTGCATTTTGTGTTTTCAAGCATTGTTTGTGATGAATCCTCATTTTTCTTGTCTTTAATGTTTGTACTGTTTGCTCTTTTGTGCTGTTACTTTAGTTCTGTCATCCTGGACTGGTGGTTCTGAGTGTACTGTCAACAAGAACTATTTAAAATGTGCATCTTGGTGCAGTTCAGGTCTTTGCTACAGAAACACGTGGGGAATTCTGTGTTCTGTACAAACCAAAAACTTTCTGTGGCTCTCTGCCTTCTTTCCAGGATTGTTTTGGGTTAGGTTGCTCTCAAGTAATCTTCCATTTCCTTTAAACTTGCATCCTCATAAATCTTTGAGAGAGCAAAACACAAAGCTCGGTTTAAGTGAGGCTACTCCATTAGCTGAAAAGTTTCTGAATTACTGTTTCAGAAGCATTAGTTACTGTTTGTGTTGCTGAACTTGCATCCTCTGCCTCCTCCATCCTAAATTTTTCTCACTGCAAAATTTTTCTGCTTATGAGCATTGTTGGGAAAAAGAGCATAGAGCATGATGCTTCAGGGAATGGTAAGCCAACAATTTCTGATGAGAGGTTCTGGAGAAACCTTCCGCGTCAACGGAGGGAAGTTTAACGTGTGGCTCTGTTAAAAGGGGTTAGCATGGAAGCGGGCAGTGTGCCGCTTCTGTGTGCTCCAGAGGGGTTTTAATGCATCTTCCTTCTTCCTTCCTTCCCCACACGTAACTTCCCCTTTGGATGGAAGACTTTTTTTGTCGAGTCAGTATGCGTAGATCCAGAGGTCATTGCTGCAAACATTGTGGTGAGTATGGGAAAGTTTGCTTTAACTGCTTTAAGTCAAGAGGTTTAAAGTAGCTCAGTATTTTTAGAAGTACTCTGTAAGAACTTCTAGTAGCAAAAATATGCTAGTTCAGTGGAACACACTTCTTTTTTTTTTCCTGCCCATGTGTGTACTAACTCAGAAGTTTAATTCTATGAAGAATAGCTCTTTTTGCTTTACGTATATTCTAATTCACTTCCAGAAAATAAGGGTTTGTGTTGTGTTCTCACCCTTCCTATTTTTTGAAGCTTCTATTAAGAAGGGAAATAAACTTATGTACTACTCTCTTATTTTTATTTTAAACAGCAAGTGAAGCTGGGTAGTCCTGACTATGTTGATTGTAGTAATGATGAAGCAACAGAAGACTTCATGAAAAGAATTGAGTGCTACAAGAACTCATATGAGACGTTAGATGAAACTCTTGACAAGTAAGTGATAAATAATACTGTGATCCCAACCAGATTATTTTAAGATGCTTCTTTAGGGGATGGAGTAGCCTGTATTGGGGATTACGGCTTTCTAGTCATGTTTTTTTAATGGTTTGAGCTTTGGCAAATTCCAGAGAGTTGACTCTGGGGGCATAGCCCGGAGGCTGGCTTGCTTGAAGAAAATTTACTAAGGAGTCTACTCTGGGGCAATACTCTTTTTGATTTTCACACTTGGAGAATGGTATGATTCTTCTGGCATTGAACCAGCACTTACAAATTATTCCAGACTTGATGTAGTTGTTGGTTATTTGTTTTTTTCAGTATGTAGAGGAGACCTGAGTGATTCGTAAGCATAATTTCATTTGTTGACATGGCTAAGATGAATTTTGAACACATAAGTCTTAAAAATGTGACTTCTAAATTAATTTATGTTTGCTTGCAAATTATCCTGTGGATGCAGGGCTGTGAGAACTTTCATACCTAGTTTATTTGCCTTCATGCCAATACGTTCGTATGTTTTGCATCCACTTTCAACCCTTGAAAATAAGGTAGGGATGAACCATGTGAGGAGGAGCCCTATTTCTCTTGCTGCAGTCCAGGATTTTGGTGTGGGACTCATACCAGGTGCTTCTGGTTTGTTTCAGGACCAATGCTGTAGAGAAGGCTGAGATGCATTTTAATGTAATTGGGTGTAAGGAGCGTGAAGCTGATTCAGTCAGATCAGTTCATGCATGTAATTTCTGTGATGGACCTAATGGTTGTGCCTGGGAGAAATAGTAATGATTAACTCCAACTCTAAACTATCAGAGATGAGGTGGTGATGCTTGCTTCTCATCACCTCCGTTTGGTGTTACTATAAATGGGGTTTTTTTGTGTGGTCTGATGTCTCCAATGCATTGCTAGAAACCAACAGTGGTTATTTTCAGCTTATTAAACTTTTTTACCCCTTTAAACTAGATACTGCTCTGAAATTAGTGCTCAAGACAAGGAAGGATAAGCAGTGAAAATTGAAATTATAACCTGTCTGGTGCTGAGAAAGGGTACTGGTGGGGTAAATTCCAGTGCTGTTAATAAATAATTCTTGATAGAGTGGTTGAGAAAATGTCTTGCTTCAAGCTAGTCCCTGGTCCTTCGGGTGCTGTCATTTTTCTGGAAGGCTTAACTGAGGAGGGTAAATAGTGCCTGGTTACCTTTTGGCCCCTGGATGCAGTCAGACAAATACTTGCTGTGGGGGCAGCATTTGTAACCTGGAGAAAAATATCCAGTATTGTAAAACACCTTGATATCTTATTTGGGGCTACCACAGCTGAATGACCCCACTGAATCTTAGAATCATAGAATGGTTTAGGTTGGAAAAGACCTTTAAGGTCATCAAGTCCAGGCATTGGACTAACTCTGCCAGGGCCACTTCTAAACCATGTCCTTAAGCACTTCATCTGCATGGCTTTTAAACATGCCCAGGGATGGTGATTCAGCCACTTCCCTGGGTGGCCTGTTCCAGGGCTTGACAACCTTCTCAGTGAATGTATTTTTCCTAACATCCAACCTACACCTCCCCTGCTGCAACTGGAAGCCATTTCCTCTTGTTCTGTCGCTGGTTCCTTCAGAGAAGAGACCAGCACCCACCAATAAGGTCTCCTCTGAGACTCCTTTTCTTCAGGCTAAATAAGCCCCAGTTGCTTCTCAACAGACTTGTGCTTTAGACCCTTCCCCGGCTTCTTTGCTGTTCTCTGGACTTGCTCCAGCCTCACAATGTCCTTCTTGTAGTGGGAGGCCCAAAACCGAACGCAGTACTTGAGGTGTGGCCTCACCAGTGCCAAACACAGAGGGATGATCCCTGCCTTAGTTCTGCTGCCTACACTCTTTGTGATACAAGCCAAGATGCTGTTGGCCTTCTTGGCCACCTGGGCACACTGCTGGCTCATATTTAGTTGGTTGTGAATCTGTACCACCAGGTCCCTTTCTGCTGGGCAGCATTCCAGCCACTCTTACCACTCATCCTTTCAGTGGGAGGGATGTATTTTTCCAAGAGGAGGATCTAGAATTGAGAGATGAAGTGCAAGTAAAGGGAATAGAAAAGAAAGTGATGTGAGCAGTTTACATATGTAAAGAGTAAGAGTTCATCCTGTACCTTTGGAGTGTTGCATTGTTTCTAAGGATTAATGCATATTTCATGGGTAACTGAGAGTTCATTTATTGCTTTGCCTTGTTGCTTCTTTGTTTTATAGTGAGAAGGAGAGTGGGAAGATTGTGGTACATGCTGGTAGAAGCTATGTGGTGGTATCTTACATATATTCTTTGTTTGCTCCTGAAAGGGATCTTTCTTATATTAAAATCATGGATGTGGGAAGGAGTTACCTTGTGAACAGAGTAATGGATCACATTCAGAGCCGGATTGTGTACTACCTCATGAATATCCACGTGACTCCTCGGTCAATCTACCTCTGCCGACACGGAGAGAGTGAACTCAACCTGAAGGGGAGAATAGGAGGAGATCCTGGACTGTCTGTCAGGGGAAAAGAAGTATGTACCTTCCCCACTCTCAGCAGTGAGAGTGACTGGGTTTTGTGTGTGCCTGTGCGTGTGTCTGTCTGTCTGTCTAATCATGGCTTCCTTCCTCTACACGCTTTTCCTCTTAACATGTTTAAGAAGGATTCTTTTAGTTGTGTGTGTGGCTAGTGGACAGTGAATGGACATACTTTGTGTGTTGAGATTAGGCAGGCACACGTTTTTATCTATCTGTCGTTCCGTTGGTTGAAATTTCTTTTTATCCTAATTCACAAAGTGGTTGTCGAGAGGGCTTTATTTTTTAAATGTATTTTTGCAAAATCCTGACTTATTGGATAATTAAGAAGGCTCACAAGTTAAAGCTGAAAGGAAAATTCCTGGAGGTAGGTAGGAATTGCAGAAAAGTTTTATTTTCTTTGTACTCCTTTCTTTCCCTCTCCTGTCCCTCTTGCCTTGATGGAATGTGTTGTATCTCTTAGTAAAAACTTTGGAAAAGTTATAGTGAGTTTACAGAGGTGAGAGCCTGTGTGTTCCAATTGAATAGCGTGTTGGCTCTGAGCTCTCATCCAGTGTCTCTTGGTTTTTCTTCCAGTTTGCCAAAAGCTTGGCACAATTCATTAATGAGCAAAATATCAAAGATCTGAAAGTTTGGACCAGCCAGATGAAGAGGACAATTCAGACTGCTGAAGCCTTGGGAGTGCCTTATGAGCAGTGGAAGGTTTTGAATGAGATAGATGCAGTAAGTTCTTCTTTTCTAAATGTCTAATAAGTTTTGTTTTCTAAGGACAAGGGAACTACTTAATTCTGTAATTATATACTTTTAATGGAGTAGAAAGTCATTTAAGCTGCTTCTAGAGGCTGGAAAAATGGACGTTAATTCCTGTTAACAAGGCTAAACATTTTGCCATAGCTAATTTAGTTTTGGTTTGTCTTTCCCAGTAAAATGTTCCCCTGCAGAAGCCACAATGCTATGAAATTTTTGGTAGGTTGGAATTGGAAAGAGGTTTTTCATAGGTTGGTCTTGCTAGTTGGCACTTTCCAGCTGCACCTGTAGGATATATAAGCAGGTGCAGTAGATAAAATGTGACCTTGCTCAGTGACCTTGCTTGCTCATATGTGTAACTTCACTTATTTAGGGACTTAATGATTCCTTCTAACCTTCTGAGTCCAGCTGAGTTCATCAGGCATGACAATTTTTTCTTTTAAGTATCAGAATAACAAAATACAGTTGTTGAAGGTTATTTATATATGGTTTTATTTAAGAGTGATATCTGCTTTTTGTACTGGTGGAGAGAAATGCTTTTTAATTCTTTTTGTTACCCATAGGGAGTATGTGAAGAAATGACATATGAAGAAATACAGGAAAATTATCCGCTTGAATTTGCACTGAGAGACCAAGACAAATACAGATACAGATACCCTAAAGGAGAGGTATGCTATTTTTATTTTCTTGAGATGAAGGCTTCCTTGTCTTCCCAAATTCATGCATTCTGGCTTTAGGAAGAAAAAAAACCAAAAAAACTGAACAGATTCTTTTCTCCAGGGGAGAGCACATAGTAGCCTACAAGGATTGAGTCTGGACAATAGCATTTGATAAAGAGCTTGAAAAATAAAACAATAGATTTAGAAGAACAGTTGAGAGCTTTGATCTGTTGGGCTTCCTTTCCATGCTGATCCTGCAGTGAGGAGGGAGGAAGAATGATTGCAAGGCTTCAGTTGTGTGTGCAAACATACTGCCGAGATCACCTTCTTCTGTTCATCCTAGCTGTGGATGCTGGTGGATTTGCGTGCAGCTCTGGCTGAAACGCTAGGGAAATCTGTAGCCGCGTTGGTCTTTCACTTCAGTAAACTCCTTGCCTCTGGGAAAACAACTCGCTGACAGCTTTTCTAAAGCAAACCCATTACAGCACAGCAATTACCAGCTGGTCCGCAGGGTCTGGCTGGAGGCAGAGGAGTGAGGGCAGCAGGGGGAAGGAGGAGTTGGACCAGCTGCTCAGCTGAGCTCTTCTTTCCTCAGCAGTCAAGAGTAATCACTGTGTGAAGATCAGCTTGTAATAAGAGTGTTCTTGAGGGGGTGACCCCTGTCTCACTAATGAGGCAGCCATTACGCTGTGAAATTCTCCTAATCCCTCTGAACAAGGACTGTTTGTTTTTCAAGCTGATGCTCTCCTCTAGCATGGTGACAAACAGCTCAAACACCCTCATCACCTTGGGGCGGTTAAATGATCTCAGTGGCGCATTTTCTTTAACAGTCTCAGGGGTTTACCCAGCTGCTTTGGAGTCTGATGGGTTTCTCTTGCCAAGGTCTCCATCAGCAGTGCTACTTCCCAACAGGGCAGCCCCCGGGTCCACTCCACGACCAGGGTGAAGGCTTCCTGCCATGGTTGTCCCCTGCCCTGCTGGGTGATGTGCTGTGTTGTCCACATGGGAAATGCATGACACCTTTTGGAAGTATTGTCTCTACTGTGCATGTGGAAATTAACTTCAGCATGCACATGTGGAAATCCTGCTGTTTGCTGTGGCACCAAGTTCATTGTATGTGTGCTGTGCAGGACAACTTGAAAGAGAAACCTGCCTCCTCTCTTCGTGACTTTTCATGGCATGGTAGCTGCCATCACCAGGCCAGCTCATGAAGCCCATAGTTTGTTTTCAAAGGACAGCCTTAACAAGCCAAGCTTTGTGAACTATTTGTATGCTGACTGTTGGCTGGGCTTCCCAGATTTTTGTTTGGAAAAGAGATGGTTTTGAAGATGAGGTGTGGAAAATAATGGGTAAGATTTAACCTGTACATTTGCCAGGGATGTGAATTATATTTCAGGGATTTTGTGGAAATTCTTGATCATAGTGACTGATTCAATAAAGCTTTTTGGTGGAGGAGATTTATTTTGTTATATGTGTGCTCCTTTATAGCCTGGAAGACCTGGACTGTGCTATTAATTTAAGGAAAATTGTTACTACAATATTTGTCTGTGCACTAACATAACATGTAGAAGACTAAATGAAAGTAAGATCCACTGTGTATACATACACTGTTCAAAGAGTTTTCCCCTTCTCATGTGCTGTGTATTTCTCTTCCCCACCCAGTCCTATGAAGATCTTGTTCAGAGACTGGAGCCAGTAATTATGGAACTTGAAAGGCAGGAAAATGTGCTTGTCATATGTCACCAAGCTGTCATGCGCTGTCTGCTCGCGTATTTTCTTGACAAGCCTGCAGGTAAGTTTTCCTTATATTTACAAATGGTAAGTTTTGTTTTTTTTTTAAAAAAATTTATAGATTATGGTCCCAGACAGTAAATTCTAGCAATTTCCTTTATCATAAAAAGTTGGTCGTGCTAGGCGAGTATGCAAGTGTAACTTTTTGTATTTGACACATGCATTAAAATTTGTAATCGATTTTTTTTTTTTTTTTTTTAATTGAGCTGCTCCTCACCTGAAATACTGTAATGTTTGGGTTTTGCTGTGCTTGAATAGCATCTGTTGCATGCTAGGGAAGAAAACAGATACAGTGTCAGATAAAAAGGTATTGAAGTATTTGACCTGTAACACTGTAGAAAAGTAAGTGTTATTGTAGTCTGTATTTCATGTGTAATTTGATGTTCAATTCCTCAGAACAGCTGCCTTACCTGAAGTGCCCACTGCATACTGTCTTAAAGCTAACCCCAGTGGCTTATGGTAAGTAGTATTAAGTGTATATATATCTGACTATACTGACTGAGTCATCAGTAAAATTTGTGAAGTATTTACATTAAACCATGTTTTTAATTTATTTGCTTTAAAATCACATTGAACAATTAGGTTTGACATTGCAGGTATGCCTGTGCAGCTTTGATAAAATCAATGAATCTTTTGGTTTGCATTTGCTTTCCATTATGCCAGAAAATACATATTAGTGAAGGCCTGAAACTACCAGTGGCTGTAATTGCTAATGGAAATTTTTTTTTATTTTCACTCAGTTCATCTAACTACTTCACTAGTTCTTCTGGCAAACCCATTTACATGTGCTTGGTACAGTAAGGTCTCAGTTTTTATTAGTGTATTTGAGGGTGTTGCTTTTTAGGAGACAGGCAAATTTATGTTTATGTAGTTTTATCATCTTACAGAGGGTGTTGTCCTTACCCTTAAAAAAATTTGTTCTCTTTTCATCAAGTATTTTCTTTCTAGACCTTCACACTGCGCAGGAACTGAGCTTGTTTGTTGTTGGCATTCATTTCTCAGCAGCTATTATCAGTGCTTAGCTCCGGGGCTTTAAATGAGATTTTCCAGGTTTGGGGCCGAATGCTAATTAAGCTTTGTATGTGTTTCAACCTCAGTTTAACATGTGCTTGCTGTTAATTTTCTTTAAGTGATGGCTTAATTACATCTTCTGATATCACACTTCAGAAGATTATTTATGGACAAAGAGAACTATCAGCACAGCTTACCAGGAAATGGATTGCCAGAAAATGCTAGTTGAGTTGTTAATTGGAAATGCAGAGGTGTCTTTGTCAGCTTTGAAAAATAACAGTCTAGACCTGTACTTTGTTTTTTTGTTAAGTTTCAGATGAAGTTGAAACAAAATAACGGGCTGTTACCAGCTCTGAAGAGATTTTTGTCACTTAATTGCAGTGTTGTGCTACGGTAATAGCTGTGCTTTGGTGACATCTGGTGTTACTAGCCTGACATGACAAGCTGGAGTTTTGAAATAGAGATTAGAAACTTTTTTTTTGAGACTTGATTCTGTTGACTTGCTAGTCTCAGCCTGTTTCCACAGAGAGGTTTTGGTTTTGTTTGGGTTTTTGTTTGTTTGTTGTTATTTTAGTAGGAGGTTGGGTAACTGCTTATGACTTTTAAGAGGGCTTGGATGTTTGCACTGCTTACACACACTGTAAATGAGGAAGGAAAAGAAGGGTATGAAATACTATTCCTGTCCCGTTGACTTCAGTGAAAGAGATGGCACTGTTATTTTATAAAGTCTTTGATACATACATCTGATTAGCACATTTCAGTCAACCTGCTTCTGGGAATTTGACCACCTGAAAGTACAAGGGTTATGCAAACTATTTAAGCAGTGATAATCTAGAGCAGTATTTCATGTTGATGTCGTTGTGCCTCCTTAGTGAGGCAGGATCAAACACAGTGTGTTTAATGCATCCAGCTAATCCTGGTCTGAGGTAACACCTCCCGTAGGGATTTGCTCTTCCTGCTGTTGGAAGCTAGCATCATTCCCACCCTAAGCATCTGGTCTTTAGTAGGGGAACATCTGTTACAGCCTGACAGTTGGATAAGGATTAAATGGACTTTTACCTGACAGCCCAGCGTAGTGGTGATCTGTGTGGGAGCACACAGGAAAGAGAAACTGCATCACACTGTACGTATGAACTTCTACTTTGGTAATTAAAAGTGAGCTCGGAATATGCACATTGTAATTACTGTGGAGTAGATATAAACTAAAGGGACCTGAGCTAAAGTTTTCCATATGATACTTTTTTCAGGTCTTAAACTCATCTGGTGGTAAGGATTGAGAGGTCTCTGTGGAAATGTGTCTGCTGTGTAACCAGCCCTTAGTAATGGGATTTGGGGTTGGAGCCTGGTTTTGCTTGGTCCCAGGCATCACAAGGGGCTTGGGAACAGAAGCATGATCACTAGGGTACTCTTCCAGTGGGAAATGTACATTCTTCCCCCTTAAAATCTGTTTTATTGATTATTTCTCTAAGCACTGGCCATCCTGCATTTTTTGCTCAGAGTTCCTGACAAATGAAGTTTCTTGGAATAGGCTTCCCTAAGGGACAGCAAATATTTTCTTACTCATTTATATGTGTTTGGTTTTTTTTTTTTTCTTTTTTTTTAAAATACAGTAGCTTTCTAAGAAAAGGCTAAAATCACCTTTTTTCACTTATGTAATAATTCTGTGGAGCATGTTACAAATTTAGGAAATAAATGAGCATAAAAATCTGAAAACCTATTTGTGATAAACTGTGGTATGTCAGAGGAATTTGACTGTTAATGAACGTTGTGTAAGGTAATGGTAGCTTATAAAAGTCAAGTTGTGAGATAAGACAATGTTTGGCAATCAGACATTGCTTTAAATGGTGTGGCCACAGTGTATTCAGTAATTATAATTCTGTAAGTAAGTTGGATAATAAGTAGTAGTTGCTCTGACTGTTTAATTTCTCTTGCTTCTCTGGAGTTTCCCATTTTGGGGTGAAAAGAAATTCCTTTTCAGAAGTCAACTTTAAAGTTACATTTAGCTGGGGGGTGAAACTGTTTTGCATACATTGAGGAATGTGGGTTACTAACACCACACAGTTTATTTTCTCCGGATAATTTTCATGTTTTAAAAAAATGAGAGCAGCACTTGTCTTCTGTATTACAATGAAATTCTAAGAAGTCTAGGACGTTTAAAAAACAAAAAAAGCTAAAAATAAGAACTTCCTGACTGAATGTTGTTTCTTATGCACGTTTAAAAATGAGAATTTGTTTCAAAGAAAATAATGATAAAGCTAAGGTGAGAGTAGGAGATGGATTATCAGATTGAGAATAATATACATTGTGGTGGAATAGATTCGTTTCCATAACTTCAGCTATTCAGAGTTCAGAAAATTCTAATATAAATCAGACGGGGAAAGTGATTATCCTTCACCAACTCAAAAATAGATTGCATCTTTACTATAAACTTCATTTTTAAAGCATGCCAGTTCTAAAAAATGTGTTTTCTATCAACAGGATGTAAAGTAGAATCTATATTTCTGAATGTTGAAGCTGTAAACACGCATAGAGATAAACCCGAGGTAAGGATGTTTTTCAAATTGGAGAACTTGACTTAATGTACTATCTGAGCTGATTTCCATTGTCCTCGTTGTTAGAAATTATTTGATAACTCAGCTGGGTGTGTTTAATTTTACATGTCAAGCTTTACTACCAGTTTGCTGTTGAGGGGGTAAAAAAAACCCCTTTTTTATTGAGCAAATTTATCTTGCATACGAGCTCTAGCTGGAGTGGATTATCTTCAGAAAACAAAAGAGAATTTGACAATAGATATCAATCTAAAAACGATATAAAGTTCTTCTAGGCTTTATCATTCAGCAGAAGTAGGGTGTAGTCAAAAAGTATGCCATTTTGAATGCCACACTTTGGAGAACATAAAAAAAAATGAAACCATTGGCTTTTTTATCACTGTGTTCATTGCTGTATGGAAAAGAGGAATTGATGATGCCACCTGTGTTTTAAGGCAAAGCTGGAGAGGAAGACTAGATCTCGGGATACAGCAGAACAACTGGGGAAAAGGAAATGGAGTGTATTTGTGAAATGTAAGTGGAGATAAGATGTCAGACCATGGCACCTCCCTGTGCTCCCTGTGCCAGGCACATGGTTCTGTGTGCTCCTAAGCATTGACATGAGCTTAGGTCAATTCTACTGCTCATGAAAAGCTCTTCCAGTGCTGCCTTGTGAAGAGTTACACAAAATGTGTCATGATTAAAACTTTCTGGTTCCTTTGCAGATCCTTATGGTAATGCTGCTAGGTATGGCTCTGATTCCTTGCTCAGATTATGAGCTGTGCCTACTGGCGAATTAAAAGTCAGTTTGATAACATGAGAAGAAAGGGCTGTTTGTGGTCATTTTCAGAACAATGGTTTATGGTGAAAAGGAATAAATGTGGTTTTATGTGTGTATTCAATAAGGCATGTGATACAAAATAGCTTATTTTTATGAGGACACACATTTGTGGCAGTTTTTCAGAATTCCTGCTGGAAGGCTCTGCAGAGAAGATTTATTTTAGTGGCTTGGGTATTCCAAGTTTTGAAAATACTGACTTTTGATTGCTCATAGCCAAGGCATTTTCTGTGAGATAGTTGTATTGTATATTTCCTCTCTCTTCCCCTTTCTTCCTTGTCCTTCTGCCTTATCACTATTGTTTTGTAGTTTGATTTGTTAGGTTTAAGAAATCCTGAAGTTTGAAAACAGAATTTTTTCACAGTGCCTAAAAGGTGTTGGAGAAGCGTGATGAAAATAAAGGAGCATGTCTTAGAGCAGGTGTTAGGTTATCCATGTTACGGTAATGTGGATCAACTGAACATCTTTAGTTTGGCTGATAAAATATTGGTGCTGAATTTACAGCTTGCTAAAGTATCTTGGAATACCACTTTTCTAACTGAAGGGGAAGGCTCTGCCTGAATCACCAAGTGACTCTTTAACATGTCTGGCCAGCAGTGTGGCCATACTGACATTGGTAGTGCGTGGCTGTATTTCAGGTGCATGCAGAGGATCATGCAGATAGTTGCATCACAGTGGACACAAAGACACAAAACTGTTTAATATGAACAAAACCAAATTGAGGTAATGGATTTTAAAAAAAGAAAAAAGGACCAGAGACATTTTTATTGAAAAACACACAAACAAACAACTCAAACACTCTTCCCCTTTTGCCCCCAGAGAAACTCGCACCAGTGAAGTGTGGGTTGTGATACCCTGTTCATTTAATAGAGCTGAATGAAGGACTGAGCTGATCCTGTCTGCATTAAAATGCTGCTCAGAGGACTATGAAAATTTCAAAAGCTTTCACTTACATCACCTATGAAAATGTTAATTAGTTCTGTAAAATTAAGCTTTCAAATAGTCTATTGAAGTAAAAGCATTTTAATTAAGTACAGCATCACAGATAACAACATTGTTGAACAAAGAATCTGTGTGATTAAGAATTGCCCAGTGTGCTGCTCTGTGCCCCCACAAGTAATTTGTAGTCCATGTTTCTGAACAGTGTGCTCCTTTTTGACTTCAGCTGGAAGCATCTATTTTCACATTGCAGCAATGCAGGCAAAGTACTGGAGTATTTGTTCATCGCATGTGTGAACTTCATTGTTTAATGATGATTTGTCTGAACTGGATTGAAACCTTGTGTTTTTGTCAGGGTTGTAGTGGCTTAAGTTCCTGACTTTTTCAAATGAAGGAGTATGGAGTCTTTTTACTGAAAATAATTGAGGGGAATGGCTTGGCTGTTGCTTGGGGTCCCCTCTTTTGGTCAGAAACCAAGCACTGGAGTAAGATGTCTTCTTTGCATCTGTCTGTGAGGGATGGGGAGATTGCTTATAACAAGATACCCAGATGTCCCTTTTGATTTTGTGGGGGTGAGAGGAGAGGGAGATGTTGGTGAACGGTGAGTTTGCTTACTGCAGCGTAAAACAAGTAGGACTTGAGAAGCCTGTCAGCACAAAGTTTGAACAATTTGGCCCTCAAATGGGCCAAATCTTAGACAGAGACCCTGTAAGGAGCTTCAGAACGTTTTATCATAGTCTTCTTTCTTGGTGGGAGGGCGAACACTGATTGCACAGTCTTTGGGACTTGAGATGGTACCATGGTAGGTGTGATTCCTGAGCCTGGTTCTGGATGGTTGCACTCAAAGCTGTGCTTCCTAGCACAAAGTTGTTGCACTGGTGGGTTCGTTCCATTTGGTTTTGAATAATTTGCTGCAATAAATGTAATTTTTTTTTTTTCTATAGCTTCTGCAAAAGGAAGTGAGATCTAGTCAGTGTGATCAGTCCTGAACTGTTAAAGTATCTGGGAAGATACTTTTTTTGTTTTGTCAGGGGTAGTACATTGTCTATAACACAAACAAATGTTTCTGTCTTCCTTTGGGAAAGAAGTATATGGCATAATTGAGCAAAGCACTGAAAGTTGCTTAATGGATAGATATTAGATGTGCTGAAGCACATGTTTAAGTGGATTCCTACTTGGGCTTGTAGAATGCTTTTCCCTAAATAGGAATGTCTTGAGCTTTTGGTAATACTATCAGCAGGAGATTAACAATTATTACAAATATCTTTTGCTGCTTTCTACTTCTGGGACACCAAGCAGCTCTCAGTCTACTACATTCTCAGAGTGTGTGTGTGTGTGTTAAAATAATCTCTGCTTTTAATGCAGCTGTGAAGGAATCTGATTGGGTTTTTCTTGTTGCTCTTACTGCTGCATGATAAATACTCTCCTCTATTTTTATTGTCATACAGAATGTAGACATTTCCAGACCTCCTGAGGATGCTCTTGTAACAGTCCCTGCTCATCAGTGAATCCCGTGGGCTGATCAGCTGTCGAACTTGGGGTGCTGCTTTCATCCTACTACTTCAAAATAAATTGAAAAACTAATCATTCCAATCACTTTGAAATAAAAAAGCCCCACCCAAACCAAACAACCCAAACCAAATGTTTGTGTAGCACATGACGTGAAAAAAATATCACAATAAAACTATTGCACTGACTAATTTATTGTGGGTGAGTGATCGAACATTGAGTGGCTGTCCTGGAATGCTGTTTCTGCAAGTTGCTGTCATTTAAAGATCCCGCAGCATTAAGTTTTATTACAGCAGTCAGAAATTATTTAATGTCAGTTGCAGTTTGTTTATGAAAGCTATGCAACACAACATCCCATGTGAGATAAGAAAAAGTTAAAGTTTGTTTCCTAGGCACCAGTATTATCTATTTCAGTGCTCTTGGGAGTGATTTGACTGCTCTGTAGCATAAAATAACCATCCATAGTTAGGGTAAAACCTTAATCCTGCCGATCCATAGCGCTGGTGCTCTAGGTGTGCTAGTTAATGATGTGCTGTTTGAAGAGGGCAGCAAGTATTCACTTAGTTCCAGAACAATTATTCAAGGTACAGGAGTGTGTATAAATGTTTTTAATACACGGCTTTTCTTAACAGCTGTGCTGCATTAACTAGGCTTTAGGGTTTGCTGGCAGAAGTGATCTTGAATTTCCTCTTTTCCTGCTTCTTGTGTGGACGTGGCTGATTGAGTGTTTACAGCTCTGCTCTGGATGTTTTGTACTTAGGTTTTATCTAGGCTACAGTAAGGAGTGTTGACCACCTCAGAACATGGAAGCAGAATTAGTATGATGATTTTGTAGCTGGGTTGTGACTCCGGTAGGTGCGAGATCTCAGGCCGGCAGGCTAGACATCCTAAACTGAGTTAGAAGCCTTTCACAGGCTGGAGAAGACTGCAGCTGTTTTGAGATGTGGTGCCATGTCTCAGCTCCTTTCTCTGTGATGTTAGGGTGGGCAGAATGAGGCAGTGGGAAGCATCTGTGCCATTGAAGCAGCTTTGTTTAGGTAGCATTGAGTCAGGGAAAGGCAAAGAATCCCCAAGTCCTGGAAGTGTCTTCCAAGGGTGGGGGGTCTTTTAGTCTTGAAAGTAAGCAAGAGTAGTGTGTTGTGGAAAGCTTTTTTCTGTTAGGTTTCTCAGCTGGAATGTTTTCCAAAACCAGGATTCTAAAAGAGGAGAGGGAAAAAAAAGTGCTATATGTCTGCAATTCTGAAATGACACTGAAGTTTTCAGAGGTTTATAGCAATTGGGAATGTTTGATATAGCCTAATAACCTCCTGACCAGAGAGCTTCCCACTGTACCGCTTGGTATTTGGTTAAACCAGTGTCCCAGGGTGGGCTGGGACTGTGTGGAACCTGGATTATTTTCATCTCTCTGTTGTGACTGTGATGTCAGAGTGGTTTATCACACATCGGTGTTTAGTTGCCCAAGCCTCTTGGCATGTGCTTTGCCACGAAAAATGCCATGGAGGAGGAGATCAGAGCCTGCTATACCCACTTGCACGTGTTAATTAGTGAGTCTGATTGCTTTTACCTGAGAGTTGAAGTGATATCCTTGGATGGTCACTATAGCTGGGCACCGAGAAACCATGCCGAGATGGCTCAGAGTGCTGTCACCTCTGCGGGCCATGACAAAGGAAGCACTGTGCTAAACTAATGCAGTACGGTTTTGATGGGGCCAAAATCCGCACAGGCGTCTGCTGTGGAAAAACTGAGTTTTGCTGCTTGAAGAAGGGTGGCTTGGGCTGTTGGAGGAAAACGGAGGGGGAAGGTGGAGGGGGGAGGAACTTGGCCGGAGAGGAAAGCCAGGCTTGCCTGCTATGTGGCCTGCAGAGGCTGCAGAGGGAGGGGAAGTGGCAGAAGCACCCAGGACCCTCGGTCCCTGCCAGCCCGATTCCCGGGGCTCTGGGGGTGCTTCTTCTCCTTGCAGAGCATAGTGTTCATTGTGCTGATGTGTGCAATGGAGTCAAGTGGATGTTTAAAAGCAGTTTTGCTCTCTAAGGGGTCTCCTATTACAGTAGGAATGTTAAATAGTCCTATCTGGATTATTTTCTTAGTTAAAAAAAAGGCCTGATGCTGGGTGGGAAGCAGCAGTGGCAGTTTGCAACACAGCTTGCTGAAGGGAAGCTGGCAGATAAAAGTTCCTGAGTGTTGATGTTGAGCTGTTCAGTTCTCTCCGTGCCTGCACTGGTTGTTGAGTAATGCAGGGCCCTTACTGACTGCACCTGCTTCAGCTGCCTTTGTGGCTCCTGTGCCCTCCAGAGCACTCTTCCCTAGAGGAACCTTCTTGCAAAATCTTTCTGTTCTGCTGTGAATATCTCTTGTAGCTAATCAAAGTGGAAGCAAAACGGCAGGCTCCATCCTGTTCAGAGACCCACAGCACTTTGTTTCTGGGGGAGGCACTGTTCTGTAGCAAAAAAAAAATAAATAAAAAGGAGTGGGGAGTATAATGAGGAGAGAAGGAGCTGAGCTAAGTATGTGGGTTTATCTGTGTGGTTTGAGTCTTTCTGGAGAGGAGCGAGTGAGCTGGTGCAGGGCAAGGTGAGGGCACTTGGACTCCAGTGAGCCTGAGCCTCCTCAGGGAGCAGGCTCCAGGAGCAACGAGCTCCTCCTGGGCTGGCCGAGGGAAAGCCCATGTGCCTTTGTAGAAATAGTAGTTTTAAAAGGTGTGTGTTGTTTTTACTCCCGCTCCCGTGTTTCCTGGGCTCTCCAGACCGTGCTGGCACGGAGCAGTGGTAGTGCTGTTCCCAGGCAGCAGGTCTGTCCAGGTGTGCTTTGGTACGGCAGTGCTCAACAGGTGCAGGGACATCTTTTGGTCCTAAAAGTAAGGCTAACACCTTGGTCATCTCTTGAAGCAGCAGCAGTTCTCATTGCATGGCCTTTCTCTCTCAATACCCATGGCTATTCTAGAAGCAGTTACGATCCTGGCTGCCATCATCTAATCTAGGGTGACTCCTACCAGTAGGAATCCACTTACCATTACTGAGGAAATTGGTCCCTTTCTGAGCCTCAGCTCAGCTGTCTTGCAGTCAGCTGTTCTGGGTGTCCAACAAGCCCCAGGATGTGTTTATTAACATTGACCCCAGATGGAGTTTTCTTCCTTCGGTGTGACAGTTCCATGCGCTTCACTTCTACAACCTGTTCTTCACATCTACTCGAACTTCAAATCACTTTCTGCTTTCAAGTCTCTTGGCTGTGTATCAATATTCCCTCTTGGGGCTGTCTTGGTTGCTGAGGTGCTTTCATCTGAGAGCTTGCACTGACTTAAATGAGCTGTATCTTCTGCCTTGCCTTGACCACCACCTTTCCTTTCAGTTTCATGGTCTAAGCTCTCTAGTTTTGCTGCTTGTGGACTCATTTCCAGTGCTTCTGGATTCCTGCATATTGATGCTCCATTTCACGCTCCATTTAATTTTGCATTGAATCAACAACAGATGCTCAGCTTAAAAGATTTCAGCCAATGTTCTAGTAGTGCCTGTGGAGACATCTCTGCAGTCCCAAGGAATTTCTGGTTATGTTGCATCAATTACTAAGAAAAATAAAAACAAATGCAACAAATGCCAGCATGTTAGTTGTTTTTTTTTTCCTTGTAGTCATGCAGAAGATGACTGCTTCACCAACTCCTCATGTTCTTAGATGTCAATACTTTCTATGTGTCCTTTGCTGCATAAGAGGTGCTGCCCATAGAAGCTTGTTTCTGAAATAGGGTTGTTGCTTTGGTTTACTTCAAAGACAGAAGGTAGAGAGTGTTGGGCAGTTTGCTGGTGGGTGCAGGGATTTCCAGGATTGGGACAACTGCAGCATTCATGGGTGAGTGTTCTCAGAAGCTTTAGTGTGGTGTGTTTATGGTGGAGGGCAGGGTGATTTACCCTGCGGCTTTTGGAGGCTCATGAGAACACAAAGGGCTGACAGTCATGTAGGACAGAATTGGTAAGGGCAGAAATGATGTTGGCACACTTCAGCTCCCAAATCAAATCTGGTGCTGCTTGTTTATCTCTTGTTTTCCTAAGAAATGGGTGGAAATCCTAGAAACTGGGGTTGTGGAAGGGAATGACTCGCTCTTGAAGTTGATGCATTTTGTCTGATGAAATTTTGTGTATGCTGTCTGAGAGCATGTGCTGAGAGTCCTCCTCCCTGTGTGCATGTGGAGCTTTCCTTTTCCTGCAGCTGGACTGAGGAGACTTGTTTTCAAAGTAAACTCTAGTAAATATGGTTATAAACATAGTGTGGTATCTACCAACATGCCCATGTGTCCCTGAATCACATTTCAACTTATTTATCAGCTCTTTGGGGAAAACTTTGTTACCAGCTCTTTAGGGAATTGCTCAGAGTTCTAGTGATTTAGCTGTTTACAGACAGGACCAGAATTAACTTTGTAGCTGTTGGTGTTCAGGAGTTGTTTCCTGGAGAATGCTTGAAACAAGGAGAAATGAGCTGCCCTCCCTCCAGGTTTTACCAGTTCATGAATTTTATGGCCTTTGCTGTGCGTTTCTGTTTTTTCTTGCATTATATTTCTTAGATAAAGACTAGAAGAGATAGTAGATTAGAAAAATGTGATTAAAAATGGTGGTTAAAGGAAAAAGTCTTAAAAATTTAACATTGTGACCTACATGGGGTGTACAGGCCTGACTGTCCTACCAGGCCCAGTATAATTCACGTGTAATCAGAGATGCTTTTCCCCTGGTATTAGAGAACCTGCTTTTATGTGCCTGAGGGACTTGGGCTCTGCAGAATGCATGATGGCTGGGAGGAGGTCTAAGCCTGACTTCTGCTCATGGGCTGGGACCTTTCTTTGTGTTTTACAAAACATTTTGAGAAAACTATCATTCAAACTTTTCTTTTGCCTTGTGTAATAGCCGTACGTTAAGCAAAACTACAGCTGACCACGAGAACCTTGCCTTAAAATCTTTTTTGTCTCTAAATTTGCAGAACGTAGGTGTGGATCGGTCAAGAGAAGAAGCTTTGAGGACAGTGCCTAACCACCTATAGCTCCAGTTCCTGGGGTGGCAGCCCTTCCTCCAGCATGAGAGCGTGAAGTAGCAGCTCAGGTCCAGGAGAATGGAGCCGGTGTCGCCACACGCGTTGGGATGAACGTGCCTCCCCTTCACTTTAAGACATTTCGAATGTGATTCAGCTTCTTTGGAGAAAACCTGTAGTTGTGGATAACTCCCAGTGCCGCAAGGTATCAGAGAAAAGATGACAGGGAAGCAGAGTAGAGTTGGTTTTAGATTTTTCAGATGTAAATTTGTGCAGTTCTAGTGGTTTTTATTGTTCATCTGTGGATAGTGCGAGAAGGTTAATTGCCCATGTCAGTGTTACTGTCAGATTTTAACTAGATTTTACTTTCTTTTTTAAGTGTTTTTCTAAGAGTTCTTATTTTTACTGTGAATGATTGCCTAGAATTACTTGGAGATTTTAATTTTTTCTTTGATGGTGTATTTAACATAGGTGAAATTCTACATTTTGAGCATTGGAGGCTTTGTGTTGCAAAACTACTTTAAATGGGAAAGTCTGTCAGCTCTGATAGCTTTTCTGTCCTTCAAACTGAGCTTTGGCTTGCCAGCCACAACTTAAATTTTTCTGAAACAGGGAAACTTTCCCTTTGAAAAAGAAAAGCATTAAAGCTAGTTTTGCTACCTGAAAGATTCTGCTGTTGTAGCAAGATTTTAACATTTTTCCAGGGGCCAGCTGTACTTTGGAGAGCAATGGAGGACACAATATTAAGTAGGGGACATGAGTGTGAGCATAGCTGGCAGCTTGGGTAATGAATGGGGAGAGAGAGAAAGAGTGAAATGGCCTTTCTGCTGCAGTCACAGGAGAGGATGATCAGCTTTTCTGAGGCTGGAAGGGAGGGGAAAAGGAGATTCAGACTGTCATGGGCTAGAGAAGCTGCTTGTCTTGCTAGTGCTGTGATTGATTTTTTTCTTTTTTTTTTAGGTAATTTTTGGAATGAATTTCAACATAAAAGTGTATGTTTCTCTTTTATATTATAGCTACATTTAATACGTACGTCAGGAAACAGTACAGAAAGGTTAGGTGGAGTTTAACCATTCTAACAGCTCATGCAAGAAAAACATCAGGTAAATTCTGAAATTATTCTTAACATGGCACACCTACCTTGGGGTATTTTTTTGTGTTGTTTTTAAGCATGTTCCACCATCCCTGTTCTTTGCTGTTCTTTTATATACTTTCTGAAACTCCAGTGCTAAAAATGGAATTTTCTATGTCTGTTGAGGCCATGACCTTTTAACTGTACTAAATCAATGTGCATTTTGTATGTGTGTTACCAGACAACTGAAGTGAGCTGCCAGCATTGCTGCTGGCTCTGAGTTCTGAAATGAGGACAGCTAGTCTTTGGTAGCTGGAATGTGTTTTTTTAAGGACTTATCTTCTGTTAATTGAGCTTTTACCATGTATGTTGTTGGGATGGTTTTGTTGTTGGTATTTAGGTTTGTTTCCCACCCCCCTGCCCGCCCC